CTGGGGATCGAACTCCGGTCCTTGTGCTTGTGAGGCAGGCGGCAGAACCACTGAGCTAAATCTCTGGCTTTTCTCTAAGTTTTATAACTATTTTGAAGTTACAAACAAGCCTTTAGAGAAAAAGAAACAAAGCCATTTGTTTTAAAAAGAAAATAGTAGAGTAGTAGAAAATTACTAAAATTTGTAATGTATTTTTGTTTTTAAAGGAAGATGTAGACTCTTTCATGAAACAGCCTGGCAATGAGACTGCAGATACAGTACTAAAGAAGCTGGATGAACAGTACCAGAAGTATAAGTTTATGGAACTCAATCTTGCTCAGAAGAAACGGAGGTAAGTATAAAAGCTCTTTTTAAAAAAATCTTGTAAGGCGTGAACTTTTTTTGTTGTTTTTTGAAGCACGGTTTATGGACTATGTGGCTCAGGTTGTCTTGAACTCATCATATCGCGCAGGTTGGCCTTGAACTCATGATCCTCCTGCTTCAACCTTCTAAGTGCAAAGATTACAGGCTTGCACCCCAGGCTTTACATGCAATAAAATAATCCATAAATCAAATGTTTAGTTTGATGAATTTGACAAATGCATCCAGTTCTCTCCAGAATTGATTCTTGCCCAGATAAGACTATTCCATCACCCCAGGAAGTTCTTTCATGACTCTTTCTGATCACACTCCCCATCTCCACAACCACTTTTTCCCACCTTAAATTAGTTTTGTTTGTTCTTGAGCTTCATTTAAATGGAAGCGTTGGTAGTTACTGTTTTGTTTCAGCTTTCTTATTCTTAGTATAATACTTTGAAAATTCTCTGTGATGTTGTATATACTAGTAAATTAGTTTAAGTGCTGAGTTGTGTTCATTGTGTATAGATTTACTACAGTTTTAATATATTTTAATCTATTTGCCTACTGGTGGGCATTTGGAATGCTTCCTCCTTTTGGCTTTGTCTTGATGTGAACATAAATTTTCATTTCTCCTAGATAATATCTAGAGGTGGAATTGCTGAAGTATATGTTTGGTTTTATGAGAAACTGCCAAAGTCCTCCCAGGTGACAATATCATGTTATGTTCCTACCAAGAGTGTATGCGCTACAGGTGTTTCACATTGCTAGTCTAAAGATAGTTTTGCAAACATAATGGAATGAATATTGAAGACTTTATTCCAAAGTGTCTAGGATCATAGCATTGATCCTTCTAATTTTGCTAGTGAAAGATCCAGAGGGAATTGATTTTCCCAAGATTTCATGAATAGGCATAGCTCAAAGGAATCCTTGCTCTCAATTTGTACTGTATTTTTTATGTAGCTTATAAAGTGAATTCACTGTAATATTTGTGTATATTTGCATTATGTATGTCTCAGTATTCTACTGTCAGTTAAACATTCATGGAATATCAATCACATGCCATATGAAATAAAGTTTAGTGTCTGCTTTCAGTACTGTACAAGGACATAATCTAGGGTGTATGCCAGGTACGTAAATAAAATAAGCATACCACACAATAGTAGAGATACTTTGGTACTAAATACTAAGTTAGCATAGGGCACAGCATGATCTGGAGGAAGCTTCCAAGAGCAGCAGATGACTAACATTTCAAAGATTGGATATTGAGTTTGAAGTCAGATGAATGGGAAGAATAGCCTGAGCATAAGGGACATAATTTTGTTTTTAGATAATATCATTTGATTTTGGTGAAGATGGAATAAACGTGAATATGGAGTGAATATTCGATGAGATGAAAAGTCATTGACATGGACAGAGTGTTAATGAACAAAAGCAGGATAGAAAACACTATGAATAGTGTGCTCTTGTACTGGTTAGATTTTAGAAAAGTCTAAATGCACACAAATATCAGGAGTGACTCACACTAAAGGTGTATTAGCAGCTAGGCGTGGTGGGGCACAAAGGATCTTGGGTTCGAGGCCAGCTCGGACTACATAGTGACTTCAAGGCCAGCCTGAATTACAGAGTGAGCACCTGCCTAAAAAAAACGAACAAAAGAAAAAAGAAAATGTATTATTAGTAGTGATCTGTATGGTAAAAATACAGTATTTTTCTTATTTTGGCTTGTTTGTATCTTTATTTTTCTATAATGTGTGTGTGTGTGTGTGTGTGTGTATATATATATATATATATATATATGTATATATATACATATACACACTCTTTGTGTTATTTATTGTTTTTTTTGAGACAGGGTCTCACTATGTAGTTGAGACTGACCTGGAACTCACTATGTAGCCCAGGCTGGTCTCGAACTCACAGCAATCCTCCTGCCTCAGCCTCCCTACTGCTGGGATTACAGGTGTGTGCCACCACACCCGGCCAAAGTTTTTTTATTTTTAAAAAGAAGAAGAAAGCCATTAGTGATAGCCTGCAGGAAGGTTACATAGAGAAGAAAATGAACTTGAGAGGGGGAAATTTGTGTATTAAACAAAGTTAACATTGCTAACTCTAGCGCTGTGGTACAGTAGGACACTCACTCCAGCTTTACATAGGCTTTATGCCTAAATGTGGGAATGAAAATTAGAGCATATACCTACACCTTTCCTAACAAGATATACTTGGGATACATTAGTGAACTGAACAGTGTATCTGTCCCTGGGGAGGTCATAATCTAGTGGAATCTACACAGTAAAAGTTCAATAATTATTTATTGTGTACCTAACATGTCCAAGCATTATCCTAGACACTTAAAAATAAGCAGATAAAATTTTGTGTCCTCACAGAGCTGACATTCTAGTGAGGTAAAAATTTTTATGGTAGGTTATAAGGTGCTTAGGCACTATGCAAATAGGAAATAAAGAATGAAGGATGTGGATGTCAGGAGGTAGCAGTGGCTAAGGGTCTTAAGAAGGTGAATAACATGATCAGACTATGTAAATCACTTGGGTAACTGTTGGTTGAGAATCAAGGGCAGAAGCAAAGCCTTTTTATTAATGAAGCTAAGGTTGATGATGACTTAGACCATGGTGATAGCAGTAAGAAGTGGTAGGAAAGAGTCTAGTTTGAAATTCTGAATCTAGTTTGAATTTGGCACCAGCATGATCTGGTGTATTGGAGGTGGGTTATAAAAGGGAGGCATGGAGGTGCCTCTGAGGTCCAAGTTGTTAAGAGAGTAGTTGTCATCTGAGATGGGCAGGAGTGGGCAGAACGGTTTTGGGGAGAACCTGGGAGATCAGTTTTGGACACATTTTGGAACATCATCCAGAAATATTTGGAAATCATCCAGAAAAAAAACATTTAGAAGAAGCTGCCCATGAGGTTAAAGGGAAACCAGGAAAGGGGTACTGGAAGCCAAACTAGAAAAATCTCACAGAGGAGGAAATGATCTGTGTCAAATAACTGCTAATGGCGAAGGTAAGATGAGAACTGAGAATGGGCTTGGACTAAACAAAGTGAAATTTATTGGTGTTCTAGAAGAGAATAGCGCCGGTCAAGTGTTTTAAGAAAATTAAAGTAAAAGGATAGAAAATACACCGTGCAATTTTCAAAGCGAAAGCTATTGAAATAAGCCTTAATGTCAGGTAAGATATATATTAAGTAAAAAGCCATTATTAAAGATTGTCACATCGTAATGATCAGTTCAACAGTAAGTTACAACAGCTGGAATTACTAATTCTCAAGTTTTTTAAGTAAAAGGCAAATCACTAACTTTTTTTTTCATTTTTCTTCTTTTTATTGAGTTTATTGGTACAATCTCGGTATACAATACAGTTACATTCATCATTGGGATTCTGTACATTTACATAATAGGTCTTGATTCTCATTTTTTCCCCTTGTCCCTGGCCTCCCTTCACCCCCTCCTCCCCTCCCCATTTACAAACACTTTATTTCCATTTTTTCAGTTTCTCATATTTTTTTTCCTCTCCCTTATTACCTTTTCCCCACCCTTCCCACTTTCCCTACACCTTTAGGCCTTTACTTCCTATTTCACATTATTAATTATCTCATTAGGATCCTGTGTACTATTATAGTTTTTCACACCAGAGAAACTATTCGGTATTTCGGTTAAAGAAATCTCTGTATGAACATTAAAAATAGGGAATCCTAAAATAAAAGTAAAAAGGAAAGTAAAAGAGAAAAGGCAATGATGTAACATTAAAATAATCCTTAATTCTGGAGATGA